CCCCCCCCCCCACTCCTCGAGAGCACTCACCTGGAAGCCGTGCCTGACGGACTGCGCCATGTAGGGCACGAATCTGTGCAGGCTTCCCCTGTCCACCACCACACCGCTAACCCCCGACGTCCCCTTCGCCGCGGCCATGGCTGCGTCGCGAGCGCGAGCATTCTGCTGGGACTCGACGCTGGTCAAGGCCTGCCGCGCGATCATCCAAAAAAAAAAACAGCAGCAGCGGTCGGGTGGATCGTTGGGGTGGTTAGCGGGGAAAAGGGGGGCTGTGGCTAGGGGTGGTGATGTGCGCCGGGTCGCCGTTCTGCTCGCATTGTGGGTTACGGTAAGGTTGCGAGTTAGCAGACAGGGGTGCGATCGATTTTCAAAGCGTAATTTCTCCACAGCCAGAAGGGTGCGAGCGCCAATTGATACTTCTCCGGAATGCTCTCAATGAGAGACTTCCAAAACCGCCCTTTTCGACAGTGGTACTGTAACCTCCCGGTTGTGGAGAAATTACGCTTAGGAAATCGCTCGCACGCCTGTGCGCTGACTCGCAACCTTCCAGTACCTCCCTCCCTCTAGCAGGAGTCACCGCCTGAAAAAGAAGTGGTCTGGTCTCCTCGAGTGTTCGAGGATGCTGCTGCTGCTGCTGCTGCTGCTGCTGCTTCTCTCGTGATGCATGGAGTTCCTTGGTGTGCGTGGGCCTAGTGAGTTACGGTGCCCCCTCTCGGAGGTGCATCTCTTCCTGCTGGTCATCTGAATGGAGTCAGCTGCAAGTCACAAAACTTCATACAAAAGTACTCCCCACTGAACACAAACAACACCCGAGAGCGAACAGCCAGAACGTACCATGATGGTATTTGCAAGGACAAGAAATAACAACGGGCAAGACGAAACAACAATGAGACGAAAAATAAGAGCGTGCAACAAATTCCGGGAAAACGATTGACGCGCTTCCGACTTTTCGTCTGCAACAAAAAAAACTCGTCCGACGCCGATGCCAAATAAAACCAAAAAAGGTGCTCCTCACGCCGGTAAAGGTGGCGCGGCTCACGTGGTAATGCTTGAGCCGCACGCCCTGCCAAAAAGAGAAGTACAATTTTTCTGACGCTACGAATTCACTGCTCATCTATCTTAGACTTTTTTTTGTGCATAACGATGGATTCGTTGTGTCGTATCAATACGAAAAAAAAAAAAAAGACCCCGCCGGAGCGGCGGCCGTGCGCCTCACGCGGTAGCGCTTGAGCCGCACCCCCCTGCCAAAAAAAAAAAAAAAACGCCAACACCCCCTCATGTGGTAGTGCTTGAGGCACATGCCCTGCCAAGTAAACTACCAAACCTTCTGACGCAAAGCTAGTCTATCTCACTCTTTTTTACGGATAAGAGGTGGGTCCGTTGCGTCATCTATCTAAAAAAAAAAAGGAAGGCGAACACCACCTCACGTGATAGTGCTTGAGGCGCAATGAATTAAAAGCTGGATTATCATACTCTTTACTACGGACAAGAGATGGATTCGTTGCGTCATCTATTGGGGAAAAACAAAAGGCGAACACCACCTCACTCACATGGTAGTGCTTGAGCCGCATGCCCTGCTGGTAGAAATACTCCCCGGGGGCCTCCTCCGTCCCCGCCAGGAGGGACCCCATCATCAGAACGCTCGCGCCCATGCCCAGCGCCTTGATCCCGCACCCCGTGTTCATGATCCCTCCGTCCGCGATGACAGGGACTCCGTACGCGCGCGCCAGCTTGCTCACGTGGTACACCGCCGAGATCTGGGCTCGCCCGACGGCTCGTACCTGCGGGCGGGAAGGGGGGGGG